GAAGATGAAACTATATACCATAATCAACAGTCTATCTACAAATAATGGCTGGAGACGGCTTAAATGGGTAATGAAGAAAAACTTTAATACAAGTTTAACATGACAGCAAATGTACAACGTTTCGACAAGGTTTTGTCATCATCAGGTACCCATCATCAAAACCTTGTCGAAACGTTGTACATTTGCTGTCATGTTAAACTTATATTAAAGTTTTTCTTCATTACCCATTTAAGCCGTCTCCAGCCATTATTAGTCTCAAAGTGGGCTCCTCGTCATCGAATTATTTAGATGTGTATATTTTTTAATCAAAACAGAGTATAAATTCTTCGTAAATCATCCAATACTGTAAATAAAGAGGCTGAGTTAGTTATATTAAAACAATTTTGTAGCCTTACCACGTCCTTAAATTCCATGTTGCCACATCCAGTCATATTCTATCTGACAACCGTGCATCTAGACAATAGCGCTGCAACGTAACTTCCATAGCAAAACGCTTCGTCGTAAGAATGTCAAAAGTACACTACTACTCTTTGCTTACTTTACATATTTCATCGAATATTTGAGGACGATGGTTTCCAAGTGCACGTTTCAACAGTTCGATTGTACAGAAAGTCATAGGCGCTACATGTGGCGACTTGACCGGTACGTCTTTGTATTAATTTCCAATTAGAGCAAGCTATGAACTTAGTGTGAAACTAAACACCAGCTTGACCATCAGTGTAGCTATTAAGTTTATGTTCCTTATGTTTCTAATTATGAATATTAGAAAGAATTATTTCATTAGTTTGGTATCTTCGATGTTAACGACTTTTTGCCGATTTCTTTCTGGATGGTTCTGGTACCCTGAGCTAGTCCATACTCCTTTGTTTTTCAATGCCATAAAGTACTCGGGACCATCCTGGAAGCTCTGGATGCCTTATCTGAATTTATCTTTATAATCTGAATGGGTGAATATTTTGCTTCAGAAAGCGATCAGTTTACGGGGTGTCATACTACCTACAAAACTTCAAACAATGTCAAAATGTAGTTCTGATGCATTCCGCTCCACCACGACTTTATATCTACTGTGTTTGTCACCTGGCTTGCTGATTCGCATATTCATATAACGTACTCAACCCTGTAATTGTATTTTTGGTCATAATATTAAATTTCATCACATGCAAAAACGTAAAGTCTCAAAAGGAATACGAGATACAAAAATGAATCATTCGTTTCTTGTTTTTTGATGACCAAATTACATTCACTTGTGTGTTTTGTACTTTTGAGAAAAAGTAAGTTACATACACGGACTATTCTTTACATGAAATACTTTTTATTTAGTTGCGAGCTTTTGGCTCTCTTAATGGGGCCTTCTTCGGCAACATTGTACTGAATAATACAAATTCGTTTATCTGTGGAATACTTTGTAAAGGCATAATAGACTATAAATGACGTCCGAATTCTATTACTATTTGCCGATTGTACTAGTCGGCCGCTATCTTACTGCGGTTATTGTTCAAGTCTTAGTTAAGACATGGTTACTATATGCAAATATAACAGATAAGTATACAACAATACGATGTTCAGACTAAAATAAACTTCAAACTTAGCTCAAACTAGACTATGGGGATTACACATTAGTGGATATAGTATGTATATTTGTTAATTGCACAAGGATTTTAAATAATATACAAAACGAAAAATAACATTCTACTCTTACTATACCGTAGTGTGTAAAACGTAGGCCTATAAAATACACCAAACATATAAAGCAAATGTTTGAGAAGAAATAAAATGCTGTATTTTTAAAACTTTATATATATCTATACAATAACACTTTGGAAATAAAGTGGATACATTTAAAATAACACATTTTTTCTGCTTTCTTATATTTAATTCGCTTGATGTGTTGATGTATCTCTGCATTTCCTTCTTTCTTTTTTCTTCTTTTTTGGTTTATATTCTAACGATTTCGTTTCATGAGTATTATAGAAAATTGTTATGAGGGCGAAACCATGCAATTCGCGAGGAAATAAAGCTGGAAATATCATAGGTAGATTTTTCTATTCTGAGTTAACAAGTTCATGTTTTGATGAGAAAATAATGACTTTTCGTAATAGTTCTTGAACCAATTTTTTATGTTAAACATACATCATATTTATATCAGTAATATATTGCATAGTTTAGTGTAGTGGTTCCCAAAGTGTCGTGCGCAAGGGTCCTCCAGGTGGCCTGCGGCTGGTCCAAAATGCAAGTCACTGATGTGTAACGCCAAGGGAGAGCCCTACGAGAGAAAACAACAGGTGGGTTAGGACTGGTAGATGGTCTGAGGGGTATTTTTCCCCGCCGAAGTGTTTTGCGGACGAAAATGTTTGAGAACCACTGGTGTAGTGCAGTATAGTACAGTAGAGCATAGTGTAGTATAATATAGTATATGGTAATGTAATATAGTACATTAGAGTATAATGTAGAATAGTATAGTATAGTACAGTAGAGTATAGTGTAGAATAGTGTAGTATACTTATAGTATAGTGTAGTGTAGTATAGTACAGTATAGCGTAGTGTACTATAGTACAGTAAAGCATTGTGTAGTATACTTATAGTATAGTGTAGTATAGTACAGTAGAGTATAGTGTAGAATAGTATAGTGTAGTACAGTAGAGTATAGTGTAGAATAGTATAGTGTAGTATAGTACATTAGAGTATAGTGTAGAATAATACAGTAGTGTATAGTGTAGAATAATACAGTAGTGTAAAGTGTAGAATAATACAGTAGTGTATAGTGTAGAATAATACAGTAGTGTATAGTGTAGAATAATACAGTAGTGTATAGTGTAGAATAATACAGTAGTGTATAGTGTAGAATAATACAGTAGTGTATAGTGTAGAATACTATAGTGTAGTATAGTATAGTACAGTAGAGCATAGTGTAGTATAATTATAGTATAGTGTAGTATAGTACAGTATAGTGTAGTATAGTGTTGTAAAGTATAGTACAAGACAGTATAGTATAGTGTAGTATAGTACAGTAGAGTAGAGTATAGCACAGTATAATGTAGTGTAGTATAGTATATTGTAGTACAGTATAGTGTAGTGTAGTATAGTGTTGTAAAGTATAGTACAAGACAGTATAGTATAGTACAGTAGAGCATAGTGTAGTATAGTACAGTAGAGTAGAGTATAGCACAGTATAGTATAGTGTAGTATAGTACAGTAGAGTAGAGTATAGCACAGTATAAAGTAGTGTAGTATAGTGTTGTAAAGTATAGTACAAGACAGTATAGTATAGTGTAGTATATTCAGTACATCCTACAAGATGTGTATTCTAATGATCATACAAGGGGTTCAATCAGTTCTGTAGACTCCTATGAAAGATATGTTTTGAATATCATAAAATAAATCTGCTTCTAAAAAGGATAAATATTCTGTATAAAATAAATAATTTGTTTTATTTAACATGTAGAGCAGCAAACCAAGTTAATGCGTTAATTAAAAATGGAACAACAATATTTAAGTGAAAATGTGGATGTTGGTTATGGAATATTTAATTAAACCTATAAAAATCTAAATACGAAAGGTATATTTCTAGGGTGCCGAGCTTCTAAGGAGCTGGACCCTATTGCTCAGATTATTATCATTATGTTAAATTAATTTGGGTGATGCCTTTCCAAGGCGACTTCCAACGTTTTCAAGTAGGCTTATCAAATACAGTGTGTTACTATATGTACATACAATGAAATAAGATACATGCAATAATAATACTAAGTAACGAATATTATTTCCCACAATAAATTCATTCAGTACAGGGAACAACAGTGGTAAAATTAACTGAGGGGTATTGGAAGGGTACAAGTTAATGGTAGAAACAGTCCAATAGAAATAACAGCTAAACGGTGTGATAAAAACAAAATAATGTTTTTACTATACCAATAATAATAATAATAACAATTAAGAAACATAATACAGTATCAAAGAGGGGTACAGAATAAATATTATAACAATGATTACGAAAAGAGAAACGAATATAAGATAAATACAAGTAGTACCATATTGAGACCAATAGGAAATCCATCATTAGATGAAATACATAGTGTATTATAACATGTATTAATAACAAGACGTTAATTTCCAAGTTTTCTTAGCTTTTCTTCTATTCGTCATTTTTAAAGAACTTGTGTAAAGCACTAACTCATTTTTGTATTATTGTAACTGAAGGCTTATACTAATAATAAAATTAATAGCAAATTAAAACAAAAATCAAGTGACTCCAATTAGAAGAGATCATATTATATCTTCAGTAAAACTATTAAATGTGACAAGCGAACTAAAATAATTTTTGTAAACAGAGCATCATTATTTAATGCATGCAGAGAGTCAACGTAGCTGTGGCAGTGACTGCTCCAAGATGGCGGACTCTTGGCACGTTTTTAGAGCCATAGTGTTGTAGCTAGTTTATTATGATAAAATGTACGAAACCCTATAACCAGGGCGGTTTCGAAAGGTGGACCTTTTTCATCAGGAGCAAACTAGGATGGACTAAGTAAAGCGGTATGAGAAAAGATGGAGTGATGCCAAGGTAGATCACCATGACAACCCATAGCGTTTTTATTAACTTTCATAAGATTGTTAGAGATGTGACTCATTTCCGATCTGCAATACGACAATATTTGTTCGATCTAATTAAGCACATTGGGCTATCTTTACTGTGCCAACCACAGGTATTGAAAACCCGTTTTTAGTTATATTTCCGCAGATTTTCCGCTGTGCCGCTGGGGAGCATACGACGGAAAACGAGAACGATAGATATAAAGATGTTAGAAAGGTTTTGTTTTAAGAAAGAGACAAGGAAACTACATTGGTATTGATAAAAATAAATTAAAAATGTGTTCAGAGAATCGATTAACAAGATACTTTCAAGTAGGTAGAACTAAAGTAACAAAAAAACAGATGTAGAAAATTATCATAAAAATTATATGTATGAAAGATTGGAGGTAAGAATTTACATCAAACATGAGAAAGAAAGAAAAACACCTTTATTTGACAGACACGGAACTAATTACTAGTTAACGATCTCCGATTCCAAGATCTAGATTTATTACACAAGACTAAACGGAACTTAAAGAAGCTTCTTTCGTTTCTATATCAGCTTAGTGTAGGTGGACATTGGTTTCAATGCCTATGAACCACATGATGCTTGTTTGAAGTGTTGGGCAACAGGGAGGTCTTTCTCGATGTTAATAGTCTATTACGTAATATCAGTATCTGACATCTAGTGTTAAAGTTGCTAACCATGTAGAAAATGCTGAAAACGAATTATAATAGGTACAGAATTAACAGATAAAGTTTTAAACTTTTACATAAATTGGATGTTAATAACCTCGGTATTTGTGGTTATATAACAATATAAACTAGAGTCAGCCTCTAATATTGATCTTCCACTAAAAAAAACAGTCAACATTTAATGTTGGTTTTCCATTAATAGATCAGAGTCCACTTTTAATATTTATTTCCCACTAGACTAGACTAGAGTCAAACTTTAATGTTACTCTTTCACTAATAAACTAAAATCAACCTTTAATGTTGGTCTTCCACAAATAGACCTAAGTCAACTTTTAACGTTGCTCTTTCATTAATAGACCAGAGGCAAACTTTAACGTTGCCTCTCTCCAACTAAGCCTTTGTAAAAGTTTGGTGTTTTCTCTACTGCTAGTACAAAGCTAATTGTTGATATTTTTTTTTCCACAAAACCCCAAAGAATCCTTGATCTTGTTATGTACCACTAAACCCCAGTAAATCATTATTGTTTTTTACTGCTAACCACAGCAGTTTCATCATGTTCCTCCTTCACTCATTTTTATGTGTATATCCTTACATAGAAGATGTGAGGTAGAGCACCGTGACCTTACTACATGACCCGTGACACTTTTTATGTGTATATCCTTACATAGAAGGTGTGAGGTAGAGCACCGTGACCTTACTACATGACCCGTGACACTTTTTATGTGTATATCCTTACACACAAGGTGTGAGATAGAGCTCCGTGACTTTACTACAGTACCTGTGACACTTTTTATGTGTATATCCTTGCATATAAGGTGTGAGATAGAGCACCGTGACCTTACTACAGTACCTGTGATACTTTTTATGTGTATATCCTTGCATATAAGATGTGAGATAGAGCTCCGTGACCTTACTACATGACCCGTGACACTTTTTATGTGTATATCCTTACACACAAGGTGTGAGATAGAGCTCCGTGACCTTACTACATGATCCGTGACACTTTTTATGTGTATATCCTTGCATACAAGGTGTGAGATAGAGCTCCGTGACTTTACTACAGTACCCGTGACACTTTTTATGTGTATATCCTTGCATATAAGGTGTGAGATAGAGCTCCGTGACCTTACTACAGTACCTGTGATACTTTTTATGTGTATATCTTTACACACAAGGTGTGAGGTAGAGCTCCGTGACCTTACTACATGACCCGTGACACTTTTTATGTGTATATCCTTACATACAAGGTGTGAGGTACAGCTCCGTGACCTTACTACAGTACCTGTGACACTTTTATGTGTATATCCTTGCATACAAGGTGTGAGATAGAGCTCCGTGACCTTACAACAGTACCTGTGACACTTTTTATGTGTATATCCTTACATACAAGGTGTGAGGTAGAGCACCGTGATCTGTGCTTTTTTTTTCAATGAATTCTTTCTTCTTGACAACATAAACAATATTATACGACTAACATCGGTTAAGTTAAGGAGTTAGTGGTTAGAGTTCTTTTGTCCTAACATGCTTGTTTGACTTGTGTTTCTTTTGGTGTCAACAAGACTAACATTGGTTAATTACGTTAAGGATTTAGTATTAGTCCTAACATGCTTGTTTGACTTGTGTTTCTTTTGGTATCAACAAGACTAACATTGGTTAATTACGTTAAGGAGTTAGTATTAGTCCTAACATGCTTGTTTGACTTGTGTTTCTTTTGGTGTCAACAACATATAAAATGCGAAAGCACTTTATTTTCGCTGATGCTCCGCGTGTGATAAAACAGCAATAGTGCCATATTTTTAATTTCCTAAATACGCGAATGAACGTATTTCAATTTTCTAAATTAAATACAACCAGTGGAATTTTGATTTGATAACGTCAACTGTACACAAAATAAACTCGTTCTGACTGTTGATCCACTCTTCCTCTAGAGTGTTAGCTTTGGACTGAACTTTATTTTTCTAACAGACTTTTTAGTGGCTAATTCAATTATCCGTCTGGCTCGTTGGTCTGACTTTTCTATACAATCAAAATAATTTTAACTTCATAACACATAGTTTTCTTAAAATTAGTTTATTATGTTATTAGAAAGCTACTAAGCTTTATCTGATAAAAATTGTTTTCTGAAAATGTAGGCCTAACTTTATTAGATAAAATGTTGCATTTATGGCAAACCTACTAAGGCTATTTACTGCCGTTCGAAATTTTGACCAACTGACTAGCGGAAATGCGGGCCAGTCAGCAGCATCCTACCACCCATCATCCATGCTAATGGATTGACTGCCATTCTTATAACGCATTCACAGCTTATAGTGCGAGGACGTTTTGTGTTATCGCACGGATTCGAACCCGGCTCACAAGCTCCTTAGTCCAAAGTTCTACCATAGGGCCAATTGGTGCTCCTACATTTAACTACCCTATTTTTAAATCACAAAACTTATTGATAATTTCATAAATTTATTTATAATTGAAATGCTTGTGATATATACATTCAGATATACCGATTAGACACAATTATGATAATATTTCACTCTTACAGACCTTATTAAAGATCTCCTTTAACGTTTCTTCAAACTTGAACACTTTTACACTTCGGTAAATTGCTGTAGGCCAACGTTACAAATGAGGTGAATTAACGTAAAACAAAATAACCTCGTTATATAACTATATTGAAATAACTACATTTTCTCTATTTGCATAACAACGCTTCACTGAACTTCATATTATAATCTATATTGGAGTATACTATAAAAAAATTGATGTTACCTCTTTCAAACGTCCTAGGCGTTCTACATCTTCTAATTAACAAATTACAACATCATTATTATAGCTTACAACAGTAATAGTTGGGATGCAGTATACTGAAGTGTTATTTTTGTTTAGTTATGTACAAAATGTATTTTCTTCACTACAGTTCATTCATAACATAGTAAATTTAGCATTATACATGTATATTCAACCACCAATTTTTCTCATTGCTTTCTAAATCATATACCACCTTGTTTTAAGTGTTCGCCGATAATCGAACTTCGAAGCTATACCTAAAGACTTTGGTAGGCCTAATCACCGTCTTCTATTGGCTATTCGCCAATAAAGCACTTCTAAGTGGCCTCAGATGTAAAACTGACAATTGCTTCTTTCCAACTTATATTTCAGATATCAAAGAGTTGAGCTGGGATGTTGCTAAAGATGTAAGTTTATGTGACAGTTTTTGTACTGCCAAGTCTGACTGTTGTGATGATAATGCTAATTGTTTCTGTGGTACAAGAGGAGGCCGTTACGAATGTGCTTGTGGAGCAGGGTATTTTGGAAGTGGACATCGAGGAGAGTGCAAATGTAAGTAGGAATTGATACTTAGGTTAAGATATAATAATAAAAACTTCTATTTATTATAATCAACAAATCTTCCAGAAAGGTTTTTAACAAATAATACTTAATATTCACGTAACTGAAAGGAAAATATTTTATATACATTACCAAGAACTCAAAATGCTTTTATTGAACACATAATTTGTATAATTAGTCGATCTTTTGAAAAGGTCCTTAATTTTTAAGAGATATAAATAATATACTTTACCAACTATTGGAAACTATCAAGGCACATTTACCTGTGGTCTGGTTTGCTGAATTCTTATCATTTCACTTCATGCAGATAAAATCTTGGAGAACAACAACAAATCTGATATAAGTTTAAACACTTTCAGTAGTCAGTTATCAGACCTTGAAGTAAGAAACTGACTGTAGAATCGATCTCAAGCTTAGGTAACCTACCCAGTTGCTCTCTTCTTTATATATAATCATGGATGGAAAAATCTCTGAAAGTTTAGCCAATAAGAGCTGGGGACGTTTCACGAAAACCTACAGTAGTAGGGAAACACATGTTAATGGACTTAGATCGCTAGTCCAATTTTTCGTGTGTATTTTTCAATTTAAAACTATTTGAGTTATTAGTATAATTAAATTTTTGTAAACTTTCTTGATTAATATTTGTTTCTAAGAAGAAATTTACAGGTACACGCTACCAATTACATGAAACTCCATTTAAAATCAGAAGACAAAGTGTAAAACTCAAAATTCGTTCAGATTGAGATTAACAATTGTTTTACCACAGCAATTTACTAAATAGAAGGTAATGACCACTTCACAATGTTCACACCATACATGATGTTATAATGTTGATAGCGGACACGATATTATAATTATCTTGAGCTAGTGTTGATACCGTACACGATGTTATAATTATTGAGATAGTATTGATACTTTACACGATGTTACATCTTGTCACAGTTTTGGATAAAGTACAGAATGTTACATCTTGTCACAGTATTGATTACATAGAGAATGTTACATATTGTCACAGTATTGATAACGCACAGAATGTTACATCTTGTCACAGTATTGATAACGTAACCAACTTCTTCAGGTTTATATAACAAGTGTATTACGTTATCCCCGTTAACCAACTTCTTCAGGTTTATATAACAAATGTATTACGTTATCACCGTTAACCAACTTCTTCAGTTTTATATAACAAATGTATTACGTAATCACTGTTAACCATCTTCTTCAGGTTTATATAACAAATGTATTACGTTATCACCGTTAACCAACTTCTTCAGTTTTATATAACAAATGTATTACGTAATCACTGTTAACCATCTTCTTCAGGTTTATATAACAAATGTATTACGTTATCACCGTTAACCAACTTCTTCAGTTTTATATAACAAATGTATTACGTAATCACTGTTAACCATCTTCTT